TTTAGTGTTTTGTTACCAATTAGTAATCCACTTTGGTTTTGTTACAATTATATCCACTTTGAGTTTGTTACAATTGTACTCCACTTTGTGTTTTGTATACAATTGTACTCCACTTTGTGTTTTGTTACAAATGTACTCCACTTTGTGTTTTGATACAATTGTACTCCACTTTGTGTTTTGTTACAATTATACTCCACTTTGTGTTTTGTTACAATTATACTCCACTTTGAGTTTTATTACAATTGTACTCCACTTTGTGTTTTGTTACAATTGTACTCCACTTTATGTTTTGTTACAATTGTACTCCACTTTGTGTTTTGATGCAATTGTACTCCACTTTGTGTTTTGTTACAATTGTACTCCACTTTGTGTTTTGATACAATTGTACTCCACTTTGTGTTTTGTTATAGTAATCTGAAGAATAAATTGGATTGGTGAAACAAAAACATAATCATAAAGTCCCCATATAGGTCAACGGTAATCTTATGGACTTGAACCGCTCAAACCTCCGATTCGATTCCCCGGGTGAACAGAGCGCAGAGAGCACATATTGTAGGTTTGCGCTAAAATAAACAAAACCATTATATAATTGCATGAATAATAAGTCTAGAATGATTAAACCTGTTGTTTAGGGATAAAATAAAGCCGAACGTCATGCATATTATGAGTTTTTCTTTCGAAAGACTAGTTTATGCTCTGCCAGTTTATCTACAAAATAATCTTTTGTAGTTGTTTATTTATGCCAGTCTATTAAAATTCAACACTAGTTTTTAGTAAGAAGTTTTATGATTATCTATGACATTTTACCTACAGATGGCGATAGCTAATGCAACAGGCGAAAAACGCAATTTCTTATAATACGAAATATAAAATAACAAGAAGGAATCCTCAATAGCTGCGGCACTTAAAATTGTTTTAGGCAGGATTAGAGTAAATCAGTTTATGAAACCTTTTTTTTTTCATTTTTATTAGCTATATTTTTGTGCGCCAGAAATACCAAGCGTGGGGAGCGCGTATACCCGATTCGATTTTATTAGTCATCAGGATCTCTAACAGAGCCTACCCTCAAATTGAAATTCTTTAAGGCAGGATTAGAGTAAATTAATCTATGAGACCTTGGGCGTGATCAAATACATCAATCGAAAGGGTTTGACCTTTCGAGTTCAAAATTGTAATTATATATCAAATCGTTTAAGAGATGGCAGAGCTATGATCTAAAAGTTTATACTGCGACTAAAAATTAAATTACTCAGTTGCATAATTTTATTCACAATAATAGTTTAAGAGTTCAAAAATATGATCTTTCAAATCTGACAATATTATGTATAACCTATCTCAATCACATGGAATAAACGGGCTAATTGATTTTAAAATGCTTTGACGAATGGGAAATCATAGATTTGCAGCAAAAATTAGTCTGTTTAAAGTCATGCTTTATTTATTTAGAATGTCTAGATTATGATAAACGGGACTGATAAACAGCAAAAATTAAAAATGCTTATTTTTAAAAGTTTAAAATATTTGTATATTATATTTTGTCCATTTTCTAACTTTTAAGTATAATTATCTTTATCATGGAATAAATAATTTGAAGAATATGATAAGATATTAATTACTAATTTAACCGTATGTTACTCTTTAACAAGAAGAGTAATAAATATTGAAAATAAATTCTAATAAGAACAATTTTGGGGAGGAGTATAGCTTGTAATAGACTATACTTTTATTTCGATTGTCATTGCAAATATTTATTACATTAAAATAAGCCTCTTAACGAACAGTTAGTGCTTTTGCGTACACAGATGAATATAACTTTCCAGAAGCAAATTTTCACACTGAATAATTGTAATAGTAGCAAATTTTCACACTGGATAGTTGTAACAGTATTCTGTTATTTTATATGCAATGGTCATATTAGAAGAAAAGACTGTTATCAAGAAATTTGAAGGGAAAGTTTTACATACCCGTGGTTAATGTTATCTTCTGAAGACGTGCCTGGGACATACTGTCAGCATTTGGAAAACTCCCTTATTTTATACTTTTCCAGCGAATATTAAATCTTAGTATAATGACTTGCGTTATTGCTGTAACATGACGTTTCAAGCGAGTAACCAATGACGAGAAAGTTGCAAATATTTGGAGAAACTAAAATTTTGAAACTATTTGTGTCATCAGCCTAGGATAAGATGCAGCGCTGGTTTTTTCTTTTTTCACAGAGCTATTGAAGGTCATGTGCTCAGAATGGTCAACACGAAAAGAAATTAAATCGATCTGGTTACCCGCTTCCGGGTATCTAACAGTATGTAGGTTAGATGCAACCTTGTCAGGTAATCTGCAGAAACTGGGGCTAGGCGGAGCTGGTATAGAGGAGCAAAGGTGTTTAATTTCAACCAAAGTGGTCTTTGTAGGAGGAAGATCTACAAGTTGTGTAGGTTTGGGAAGGGGAAATATTTTTGGAACGGTCATCCAAAAACGGATTTACGTTAAGGAATTCTTCTAGAAACACTTAAGTGCTCATCAAGAACCGAGCATCATGTAGATAGAAAAAGAGGTGCCTGAAAAGCATAAGATGTAGAATGAGAATTATGTTGACTAATAAAACAAAAGTCTGCTTTGGTCTAGTGGTCAACTTACTCGTACTGTGAATCAGCACTTTGGGGCCTGGTTGCGTTATGGAAATGACGGTCAAATTCCACTCTCCAGCAGACTAGAGTAGCCCCACAGTTGTCTGTGGGTACTATAGCCTATTAATTTAAAATTATGGAAGGCTATGAACAGGTAGTCCTATGTATAGCTCTGAGCAAAATATCGAAACAAACAAAGCAGTAAAATAGAAAACTATCACAGGAGTTATCGTATAGGTAATTAAAAATTATTATAAAATACGCGATCCTTTTTATATTTTTTGTTATGGTTGATGTGAGAATCATCTGATCACTTAAAACTTGCAAATAATAATTTAAAGGTGTCAATAATTTTCTCGAATTACTTAATAAAACACTTCGAATACGATGGTGAATAAATTAAGATATCTTGAAAAGTTTGGATTTTGAAGATTGATGTTTGCCGTTCATCTACGTATAAAGTACTTTTAAACCTTTTAGTAAAAGTGTTAGAATACAGATCTGCGTATAATCTGGATTTAATAAGTTTAACACACATATTAAAGTTTACTTATTTGGCGGTTTATCCTCTCAACTAGAGTATAGAGATATGCCAAAACAATGATGCTCTCAACTGAACCTTTTCAAGAAAAAGTGAATTTACATTTCATATTTTTGTTCAGTGCTCAAGTATCCACAAACTTGTTCCGTCCACTTACAACACGTTCTTTGAGTTTTCAAACTAACATCAGGTATTTTATTTAATGTCATTAAGATGTAACAAGAAACAGTTGTAAATATATCTTCTTCTTCTTTGAGAACATTTAACATCATGTATAAGTAATATTTAATTTATTTTAAAACGTTTTAATTACCAGATGTTACAATATAAAAAATGTGTTTCAAATGGCCAGCAATCTAGTTTTAAAATATTTTAATCTCATGATGTTTAGACACTACTCAATTGCGTCACGGACATATTTTGTAGGCCGTCAGAGTAGGACTGTATATGTGTATTGACATGAATATAAAGAGTCTAGGTATATCTCGTGAGTTTTAAAAGCTATTTGTGTTTTGTTTAAGTGCAAAATTTCTCAATGTGCTAGCTTGCAGGGAGCAAATCTAGAAATTTAGCGCTATAAGCTCTGAAATTTACAGCTGAGTCAGTGTGGATGGGATCAGATTTTAAAATCATTTTTGTTTTAAAAAAGAATATTTAGAAAGAAATATTTTGTTAAACTGAAAGAAAAGAGTACACAATTGAGCTTATATAGTTAAAGAGTTTTTCTTTTTTAAAGTTACTACTAGACATATTTCGAAAGCTTTTGATGCCAAACATTGATTTGTTATGATCTGTAATAGCAATAAAGCCGAATTCCATCATTTATGGTTGAAAAAAGTTTGCTTGCTTATATCTTAAATTTGCCACGCAAGAAGCTCAAAATAAATATTTAGTTGATTATTGTGGAAATATTTATCTACTTCATGTTTATATTATATTTCTCTTGAACTGAGTTTAAGTTACTATGATTCTGAAAATGTCTCATGCTTGAAGAGAGGAGTTTACAAGCAGTTATATATATTTAACATACGGATTAGCGTTTACAGTTTTTTGTTGTTTCTCGTCAATTTGTATTTATGCCAAAGGCTACTAAAGATAG